TAGAAATAAAATGAGATTTCTTAAATCAGGTTAAGCATTAATCAGAGGTAAACTAAACCAAATGAACGAGTTCTTCCCTCTGAAACTATTAACTGGCTGCAGCAACTTCAGTCCAAGTGTTTAGAAACAAAGGAAATAAACTTACAGGAAGTGGTCGTTTAGACACCAGGTCCATCTCTAGGCGTATTGATCAGTTCAGAACCGCTTTCTGGATCAGATGAGATGCTGCTGGATCCGTCAGCTGGAGTCTGAAGAACCAAAAGATTCAGAGAATCAGAGATTAATGTCCAGCTGCTGCTTCACCTCATGTCACCGACCTCTCAGGAGAAGAGACCTGATATTAGGAGAAACTCTGAGACCAACTGAAAGAATCACCTTCTGGGATTTATGGCGTTTCTGTGCCAACCAGATGAGGAAGAGGAGGAGAGGGATGAAGCAGCCCAGAAAAATGTAGAGTCCAATCCGTCCTCCTGAAAGACCAAACACTTTTATTCTCCAGCAGAAACGTAAAGTTAAGTTACCTTATTGTTACCTTTGTTTATTGTAAATAACACAAAGGTTAGATGTTTTTTTGTGATGGAAACGTTTTACATGATTAACAGCAAGACAGGAAAAAAAGGATATAAAGCAACTACATAAGCACTTTGTATTGCCTTGGTGCTGAAAATGGGCTAAATAAATAAAATTACCTTTAAACTTTAGCTTCAGTTAATAAGAAAACAAGGTTCTGAAGTAACTTTAAATAATCTGATTGGTTGAGTTAAAGAACTGCACTGGTGGAACAGGCTGTGCATAAATCAGAGGTTCCCAAAGATTTTCTAGGCCCCTTATGGATTATAATAAAATCCCCCCAAAAAGAAAAAAAAATCAACTGGGTACAAACATCGTTCAGCCAGACATAAACCTTTACACATATTTTGTTTTCAAACTCCACTGAAGTTTATTTCACACTTCAGGTTGAAACAAAACGAACTACAAACATCTTTACAGTGAAACACTTTGTCTAACTGTGTTTTTAGTTCTATACTGTAGAAAAGTTTTCTTTGTTGTCTGTTATTTCAAACATTTTTTTTATTTGTGACAACATTCAACTTTGCTGTCATCAGCACATTTAAAAATAGCCTCTGTGCAAAATGGGGTTAAAACATGAGCAGAAGTTAAAATAAAGGTTTGTTGAACAAACGTTCCTTTAATCCTCCCGTCTTTCCAGTGGCTCGGTGAACCTGCTTGTTGCTGCAGATCTTCAAAATCAGGGTTGCAGTTGTGACACTGATTTCATTTTCAATGTCCAGCTTTGATCTGCATTTGGTTTTGATTGAGGCCACAGCAGTAAAACCTTTTTCTCAAAGGTAGGATGTGGCAAAAGGCCAGTGCTCTCTTCCCTAGCAGAGGGTGATCTTTCTCCACTCCAGTCCAAAACGCAGCCAGTGTCTTTGACCTAAACTGCTGCCTCATTGTTGAATCGGAGGCGATATCAATGAACTGCTCCTCTTCTGATGTGCTGAAGTCGGCAGGTGGTGTTGCACTGAAGGCATCACGGATCCAGTCGTGTTCTTTGGAATCCTGCACCAGGAGATATTTCTGGAAATGTTTCTGAAGGGCAGAGATGTGTGTGTTCATGCATGAGGTCACTGTGTTCTGCAGCTTGTTGTCTTCAGTGAAGGATTTTACGCTCTCAGATGAGTCCACATTTCCATCTTTCACCTGCTGCCCCCACATCTCTAGCTTTCTGACAAATGATGTGACTTTATCTGCCAAATGTGGAAGGTGTGTGTTTGAGCCTTGCATCTGCAAATTCAGTCCATTGAGTTTCAGAAACATGTCACTGGGATATGCAACTTTCATGAGGAACTTGTTACAGTTAAATTTGTGGGTAAGATCCCTGCCTTCCTCCTCCAAAAAGATGCGGATCTGATCTCGCAGTTCAAAGCACCTTCCCCCGCCGTGAAATAGAACAGCTGTGTGGTCGGAGCCCATTTCCTCGAACAGTGCCAAAAACATCCGGGCTTTGACAGATCGTGTTATAATGTAGTTGACTGTCAATAACATGGTTCATTACTTCATTCAGCTCAGGACTCAGCGCTTCACGGTGCATCATGCAGTGTGTCCACTGCACATCGGAGAGAGGCGCTTAATGAGCGCTTCCAGACCTCCTGGTTTCCCAGCCGTGTCTGTGTAGATCCCCACACAGCTCTCCCTTTCAGATCGGCCTCTTCCAAGTAGAAGTCAATGATTTTAAAAAGTTCTTCTGCAGTGGCTCCGCCAGGAATTTGTTTGCAGAAAAGCAATTCCTCCTTCATCTTATTTCCATTGATGAATCTGACATAAGTTATCAGTAAGCAGTCTTTGTTCCAGCAGGGGCGAGTTATTGTGATAAATGATAATATTGCTGTTTGAGACCATTTTCCAGCAATCTAACTGTTTAATAATGTAAAAACACATTCTCAAACTTTAAGTTGCAATGAACACTTAACACAGGAAGCGGAAGACATGGACATGATTGAGCTTGTTTTTAATTAATCATCTGAATAATCGATTTATTGCAACAGGACTATTTAAGTCTTTGATAAAAGTTGGAAATTAAATTAGTTGATGTGATTGTTCAAAATCAAAAGAGAAAACAGAAACTTACTTTGATTGTTTGATTCAGAGCCGCCTGGTGTGGAGAAGCCGGATTTCTGTTTTGTTACAGGTTCAGTGGTTCCTGAAGAGAAACATAATTTTTGTTGTTTTACAGAAATATTTGTGATTTTATCCAGAAAGCAGTTGGATTATTTTAATCAAACTTCAGTTTTTCCTGAATTTAATATAAAAACATCTCATAGTTTATCTGAAACTTCAATAAAAGGTGGAGATGCTAAAATGTCTCCGTTTATGTCCTGATTAGTGTCTGATCAGGTTTAATTCTGCTGCTCTGTTTCAGTGTTTTAGTGAATTGTGTGAATGGACTGATACTCACTGTTGGGTTCGGGTCGAGGACAGTCTGGAACAGAAACACCAGAATTCAGGTCAACATGTTCTGACCGGTTCAACCAGCAGGAACATTCAGATATAAATGTGGATTTTCTTACCAATCTGGTTGAAGAAGAGTTTTCCATTTACTCCCTCCATTCGTAGCTCCTCGCTGCCAGTGAGGTTCCACAGAACCAGGAGGACGGTCTCTGGTCTGGCCGAGTCGTTGAGGCACACGGAGCATTTAGAGGAGAAGATGGAGGAGAAGTCACAGGGAGCCAGCTCCAAAGTGTTTCGCTCCCAAAGGTTCCTCGTGTCATGGTGTTTGTCATAGATGAGTGTAATGTCTTTAGCCTCTGAGGAACTGGAGCTGAAGCAGGTGAAATCAGCCTGAAAAACAAGAAACAGGCTCCATGTCAGCAGCAGAAAGTAAAGGACACAGAAATAAAATAATAAAACTGGAAACAAGAACAAGGCCTGAAATGGGAAAATATGTCAAAGAGAAACAGGGAAAAATTGGTTTGTTTGTTTTTTTTTTTTGCAGATTCTCAATTTATATAAGAGCCATGTTTGTTTTACATATATCTTTAGATTATGAAATATTACTTACTTTTCCTTTGGTGCACAGCGTTACCAGGATCAGGGACAGAAACATTTCCCAAGCATAACACTCCATACTTTATGCGCCTGTTTTAAAAAGAGCCATTCAATTCACATTATAATAAAGTTTTTACAAATATTACTTAAAATCAATTCATTTTATAGTTTTCTTTGTGTAAATAATCACAGTTTAGCAGATTAACAGATATTCAAAACAGAAGAAAAAAAGAAAATAAAACACACCAAAGAGCTTGTTTACGTTTCTATGTTCAGATTATAGCCCAGCTTTCTGTTTGGATAAAACAACTTTACTTTAAATGTCAAAGGAGAAAAGAGCTTTTATGTTAGCATATTAGCTCGGTGAGGACAGCGTCTTGTTACGAATTATAATTCTTTACTTTTGTCGTTTTAATTCGAAGGAAAACAGTCTAATAATACTTATTTCCAACAACATTACTAAACTGAATGTATACATATTTGCTAAATAATTTAAAAAGTCATAGTTGAGTATTTTGAAACACACTGTCGACACTTCCGGGTCCATCTCATCTCCACACAAAAAAATAAAATATAAAACAAAACAATAAAGTAAGTTAAAAAGCAGTCTTAATTATTTCAATAGTTTGTTTTTCTGAGCAATTCTGAATATGCCAAGTGGCCTCGCAAATCAGAAAACTGTTAGCAGACAGAGCTAACTTAGCATGTCGTGTGTAAACCCGTCACTACACACGACAAAAGTTATAATCTTGTTATAGAATCGCCGTTTACAATGCCGAATTTATACCAATACGTCATAGATTAATATGCTAAATAGCGCAACCGATTAGTCTGTTAAGCTATCAACAGACAGTGTTAGATTAACACCGGCAGTCTGTTAATCTGTTTTAAAAGGAAAGCTAACAGGCTAACTGTTTGTTAGCACACAAGCTGGCCTAACACAGACAGCCTTTCTATTTCTTCAAGTAAAATTAACTAACTGAGCTTTCACACAGTCTCAATTATTATTCATAGATTATTGAAACAAAAAGATTTGAAAGTTAAATTTTCCAACCAAATCGGAACAAACTAACCTGACAGCAAATAAGAAAAAACTGTCGGATGACAGAAAAAATCTGCGGCTCCTTCTTCTTTTTGTTTTATGGCGGTTTGCAAACAACTTACAGGTGCATTACCGCCATCGTCCAGACTGAAGTATAGATTAGATGCCCTACCACTATAATCTTCCAGTAATACCTGACTTCCTAAGAAAACTAAAAATGCTGTTAAATACTACATCCTCAGACGATCTTTGCAGCAAATTTTTAATATCTAGTTTATTTTTTATTTCTATTTAACTCTTTGATTAACACCTCTCTTTCCTGACAATACTTATTACATTCTAGAAAAATATGCTACACTGTTTCTGACTCTCCACAATAACTACACAAACCTGTACTATGTTTATTAATCATTTTCAAAGTACTAAAATCTGCGGCTGAAACCCATCAACTCTATTAAAGATACAAATAGGTCCATATAAAAATTATTAATATACGAATAAAGAATATAAAATCAATCTTAACTCGGTTTACTTAATTGCAAACAGTTAATTTAACCAACCTTACAGCTATTGTTTGGTTCGAAGACTGAAACTCAAGTCTCAACTGTTATGCCAAAGGTCTGACGCTTTCCATTCCTTTTTTTTTTTTTTTTTTGCGGATGGCAACCAAGTTAAGGTACTTTAACAGCCCCAGCTGCCGGGTTGGTCTGTAAACGTCAATGGTAATGGGAGGGAATATTCACGATGTTTATACATAGAGGTGTAGCCTATTACTGTCACCTAACGGAGACTTCTCAAAACTTATTCTAAAAATATTAATATTAAACAGACAGTCGAGCCGGAAAGGACATAACATAATCGCGTCCAGATTTACTGGATCCGCAATTCAGTACGGATCCAGACAGACGTTGCTTTGTACTCAAGTTGCTATTTGGCCCAGAATGTTTTCTTTCTGCTGAATAATTACAACGGTCCAAGATGACGTGGTTCCGGTGTTACGTTTCCAAACTCTGACAAAACTCAGGTCCAGTGTTTCCCTACAATAAAGTGCAGCTAAGTTCCTCCGTCCTATTCCCTTCATACCTGACTATGCAAAAAAGATGTTAACCACTACGTCTTTTCCTAGAAGTAAAAAAAATAAAAAATAACTTGCCTTGGTCTTTTTAATTGAAAACTTAAAACCAAAATTTTGACTGACTCCACAGTTAGACTTTATTCTTGAAACTTGTGTGCAATAAATTCTGTATTTTTCCAAAATGTCCCCCCATCCTAAAACAGATGAGCTACAGACAAACACCCACCCATCCATTTTCTACACCCTTGTCCCAAGCGGAGTCGGGAGGGAAGCTGGTGACAGATCATCAGTCTGTCGTAGACAGACAAATACATCATTCATCTTTATTCAACCATTAAGGTTATGACAGCGTTTTTAAATATAGTGACGTGGTGGTGACCACCAAGCGCCGCCTAGTGTTACTTTCCTTCAAGTACAGAAAAACAAGAAGTTAAAAAAAAAAACGACACCGAGAAACAGGTTTGGTTGGCGGCATACAGCTCAGAGTTCTACCTATATCTATATATCTATAACTAAAACGACAACTCACCATTTTCCTGTCCTTGCTGTTGGCCTGGACCGAAGAAGCCGTTCAGAAAACTGTCCAATATCAAGTCTTTCGCAAAAGGAAAGAGTAAAAACAGATCCAACATAAAAATGACTCATGTTTCAAACATATAGTCGCGGAAAAGAAGATAAAGAATAAAAGCCTGGTTCTTTAAATGTGTCCCAGGTTTAAACCAGAAGGTCGTCGTCCTAAATCCAGTCAGAACCGAACCACAGAAGAAACACGGTGAAAACCGAGTTAACATTTTTAGATTGGAAAAAATATAAATCTTCTTCAGTTACTTTCCTCCTCTTTCGGGACTTTTATACTGGTGAACGCCAAACCAGTTTAGTAACTAGTTACTGACACCCAGTGACTTGAGAGTCAGTCCAATGTGAAATCACGAGAGGAGGAGTCAGTGCTGCACTATATAACAGTCAGTGGTTGGTTTCTTTTTAAGGAGAACAAACTGCGTTATGAGATATTACATTCTGTTGACTATAAGATGTGTTTATGATCACTTTTAACTGCTGTTATGCTGAAATGTGCTATACAAGTAAACTTGATTAATTGTATTGGTAAGTTTTATTTATTTAGCTCTTTTTTAGACACCAGTTACTAAGTAATTTATAGTAAAGATGTAAAAAAACAACAACTTATGAAACAGTAAAAATACAATGAACCAATTTTTCTAAAACACGTTACAGCAACATACAATTGACATAACAGCCCTTATCTTAACTTTATAATGAGTTCTCTTCTGATTGAACTTGTTTTTTTATCTTGTTTTATTTCCAAACCTAAAGCTGGAGACATTTTTAAGTTTAGGAATGTTGGCTAAGTTTGGTGTTAAGTTAAAATTGCCCTTAGATAAAAAGTAATTTCATTTAGAAGAATGAAACCTGACAAAAATGGTTATAGACAAACATGTAGACTGCACAACATATTGTAAAAGTCTGTAATTATGTTTCAGTGTTTTGATCATTTTAGTTTTTAATCATATGTGTGTCATCACAGGTGAAGAATACTAAAACAGTGGTGTTGAAATTATCTTACTAATTTTTCAACTGAAGTGAGCAAGAGAGCAAAGAGCAGAGGCCATGTGGGAGGGCAGAGAGAAAATGACATTTGTCAGACAGAAAACTCATCTATAAATAAACATGGCAAATGCTTTATCTCAGGACTTTACGTTTCTAAACTTGGAAATGTAAATGTAAAGAATAACTTGAGAATTGGCTCAGCTGATGACAGCACAAAACAGAAAACGACTCCAAGGTTGAGAAAATGTTTGGCTCCTCTCCAGGACTCTGCAGGCAGCGATAAGGCCGAGTTAGACATGTTTCAGGAAGGAGAGCCTGATGGCTTCCTCTTGTTTGCTCAACTGCCATGTGGGGGAAGGGAAACTTGATCTGTGTAACATTAACCCTGTGTAAAGCACAGCTGCACAGACCAGCTAACATTAGTGACTCTAGTTGTATTCAGCTGAACTGAGGATAAAACTGCCTTCAGGACTGTGAGGTTGTAGCTGGTTCAGACTGAGGAACATGGTAATAAATGTGTTAAGTTCCACATGTTAGTCTCCCACTCTGCTCTGCTTTAAGCTGTTTGTCATTTTGTTCTCAGTGTTTCAGTTGAGTGTTTTTCACCCTGGTAGAGAAAAACCCCAGCGGACCAGAGTTTCCAGAACTTTTCCAGAACTGAACAGACTTCAGTTCGCTGGCTGTGTGTCATCAGATCACTGTGAAGCTTTTGTGAGAGAAAGAGGAATCCAGAACAGATCAGATTAACTGTTTCATTTTCAGACTGAAACGACTCCAGTTCTGACTTGTTCTGGTCCAAAATCTGTTCTGAAAGAAATTAGTGAAAAGAATGTGAAACATGAGACATGCAATATACTTAAGATAAAAACAATTATAACTTTAATTCTTTCAATGTAACTTTGAGACATTTATGATTACTATCAGGGTTTTTTGTTTATGAGTTTCAGTGCAATTTGATATTATTTTACTTTGGTAAAATAATATTTTATTCAGGGAAAATAACAACTATAACTACTTTTAGCACTTCAAAAATTATAAATAACCAGAAAAATTAGCAAGAAAAGAAACTAGGCTGCAACTTAGGGTTTGATGTTTAGATTCCTGTCTAAGGGTGAATGTTTCATCATCCAGGCGAAGCGAAGAATCAAACTGAGAGGCTGAGCTGAGAAAACAAGCTGTGTGGGGAGGACAGAGAGAAACATGCATTAGGCAGACAAATAGCTGCTCTGTAACCGCAGGCGGGTAAATGAGTCAGAGTTGGAAATGTTTCATGAAGGTGGAGTCAGATCTCTTCCTGCCTGCAGAACTGCTGTGTGGGGGAAGGGAGACTTTCAGCTCTGCACTGTAAAAACCCTGTGAAACTACAACTGCTGTTCACCCTGCTTGTTTCACTTCCTGAGGCAGACAGAAATACAAATATGCAAACACAGGTTTTAAAACATCATGGTTCAGCGAGCTATAAACAGGTTTGGGTTTTTAAGACTTCTGAAATGTAGTTCAAGTTCATGTTTATCTGTGCAGCACATTTCAGCAGCAAGGCAGTTCAAAGCACTTTACATCATAAAAACACAAAAGTATAAAGTTGTAAAGAAAACACCATGCAGTCAAAAATTTAACAAACATTATATTTTGATAAGTGCCTTCACCAAAATCATACACATGAAATATGTTGGTCAATGTTTCATTTATTATGTTTCAAAAGCGGCTCTAACCAGCTGCAATTTTAATCTGAATTTAAAGGAACTCAGTGTTTCGGCTGTTTTTCACTTTTCTGGAAGTTTGTTCCAGATTTGTGGTGCATAGAAGCTGAATGCTGCTTCTCCATGTTTGGTTCTGGTTCTGGATGCAAAGGACTTGAGAGGTCTGGAAGGTTGATAGAACAGCAACCTTCCAGGTTAGTGATTTAGTGTATAAATCACTAAAATCCGTTTAGTGATTTATACAACCAGCAGGATATAAAGCCTCTTCTCTCAGTGAAGGAATGTACAGTAGAACTGGGTGATCTGTAGTTTCCAGCTAGAAGAACTGAAGCTGTGTGTTGACTCTAGATCTGTATCTCTAGAACATTCCTATTTAGGTTCAAAGATAATAACTTCAGTTTTGACACATCAACACATTTTCCTGTTTAGTGCATGGATGGGTTCAAAGGTCACCTGGTGACATCGTAATGTAGAGCTGTGTATCATCTGTGTAGTTATGGTATTTAATAATAAAAAATAAAATAATAAAATTGATTGACTGACTGATTAATTAATCTTATTTTCTGTTTTAACCTGAACCAGTGGAAACATATAGATATTAAATAAAAAAGTCCTAGGACTGAACCTTGGGATACAAACACTTCATGTAAATG